GCTTTGCACGATGGTCCCGTCCCCCGGCCGTTCCTCCGACGCAGCGGGGGCGCCAGCTGCGGCATGGCTGATGGGTGGTGTCGTGGCTCCCCATTTCCTCTTTACTTGGTCGCAAACTGCACTGAGTAACTCGGCCTCCTCGCCAATAATCACATCTTCGACGTCGCCCAACTCGCTGACCCCACTGTCACTCCCATCGATATCATTAATCGCGCTAGCTCCGTCATGTCTTTGGGTCTTACGGGCGGTAGACCACTTGAGTACATCGACCTCGAAGGCTCCCGGTTTCGTAGAATCCTCTGTCTCAAGAACGTCATGGACCTCTGCGACATCGATTCCGCGACCTCGGTGAATCCGCAACAACTCCTCCGAACACGCCTCAAATATAACTCCGCCCCATCGTTTACAATTTCTTGTTCAGTGACTTGACCGCCCCACAATTATAAAGCCGGACATGTGCTAGAGCGATCACAACTTGTCGCTCCACTATATGAAATTGACTCTGTCGCCGGTAGAAATATTGAGGTTCTAGAGGGCCTGCCGGCTGATGGGCTTGCCGCTGAGGCCTCCGCACTTCCCCCCTCCTTGGTTTACAGGGCGTCGCTCAACTTGGAAATATATCTTACCATGCCTCCGTGCGTATCCGCGTTCGCCGCCATGCTCTCGACTTGTCGGTAAAAACTGCGTGCATCTCGTTCCACTATGTTACGCCGAACGACACATATCAGCACGGCTTTTATTTTCTGCTGCGTCTGTAGCATTTCCAACGCTTCTTGTTGGGTAACTTCCTTGGTGTCCGTGGGGGGGCGGTCGGTAATGAAATCTCGGACTCCTTCATGAGTGGCGCGAACTGCCGTCTTCACGTAGTCGGAGTTACCGTCGATCGCTGCCGTTACGCACATGGCCATGTACCTCTGAGGGTCTAAATGAATCCAAACACCCCTGTCCTCAGGTACACGGAATTCAACCGGAGTCTTGCGGGCCCAGGATAAGGGCCGCCGATACGGACCTTGCCATTGCAACCGACGCTCCGCTACCATGCAACATGCTTAGAAGGAGTCAGTTTAGTAAGCCGCCGCCTTTTGCAATGCCATGCAAAGCGAAAGTCTCTGCCAGGTGATATGAAGCTTGAGCCAAACAGCGTCGGTTATGATACACTCATTGTACCACTATGTTTCCACAGTTGCCACCAGATGTTTGAACACCTCCTCCTCCTCTTCCTCCTCCTCCTCGTCCTATTCCCCCCTTCCTCCGCCATTCCATCCTCCTTCGTATCCGTGTTCCCTCGACCTCCTCCTACCCGTCCCTCTGCCCACCACATCAAGCCGTCTTCTTTCCTAACAGAGCCTCCTCGTCGCTCAACCAGACGTGTTGTTAGGACGGTCCAAGCCTGCTCACTGGAAACATCCTCACAATGATACAACAGCGAGGCTCGAAAATCCAACTACTTCGCTGATTGGGTGCAGGTCGGTTTCAGCTCTCGAATGCGGGCGCATGCAAATTGTACTGTCGTGAAAATTCGCCGGTCCACCGGGCCAGAGGCGTGCCAAGATCACTGGTAATTGGTTAACGATCTATTCCTATTCGCGCGCGCGGGGCGGCTTCTGGGGGCTCCTAGCCGAAAAGTGCCCCAAGCTGGTCCCGGCCAGTGCGGCTCAGAGATGGTTTTCCTCGGCGCTACCGAGCGCTCCAGAAACGCGCCAAAAAAAGGCTCGGAGACGCCCGCGAGACGGTCCAAAGGGCCCCGAGTCCCCGAAAGAATGCTCCAAGACGCCCATGCTGGTCTCCAGACGGCCTTAGACCCCACCGAGAAGCTCCAAGAGAGCCTCATGAGGCCCTCCAATAGGGTCCCAACAACCAAAATCGTTTCATTTCCTTCGGAAAACGTAGATTTCTGGTATGGACGACGTTCGGAGGTTCACAGCGTCCAAGACTGCCCAAGAGTCCCCCAAGATCGCCCCAAGATGGCCCAACATGCCCCCAAGATGCGCCCAAGAAGGCCCAAGAGGGCTCCAAGACGGCCCAAGATGGCTCCAAGACGGCTCAAGACGCCCCCAGAGAGGGAACTCGAAATGACATTTGAAGCTTGTCGACCCCAGGGGCCCCTCCGAGACCGCCAGCAGGCTCCCAAGAAGCACCCAGAAGTCCCAAGAAGCCCCCGGGAGGCCAAAAATCAGGCCCCCAAGGCGCCCAAACGGCCCTGACGGGGCCTCAAGAAGCTTCAAAACTGCCTCCAAAAGGCTTCCGCGACACCTGCCAGGAGACCAACACCGCCGCATCAAATGTCCCCTGCGCCCCCTCGACAAGCCCCAGAGTGAGCATCCACGACCAGCAAACCCCCACGAAGGCACCCGAAGACCAACGAAAAAACACCACACAACTAGCCGCCTCGTGAAAACCGCCCGATTCCCCTGACAACTCCCAAGAAATCCAGACGAATCGCCCCAGGAAAACAGCCGACGCCCCTGCAGCTCAAAACCGCCAACGACCACTCGGGCAGTCGACGCAGCAGTGCCCAAAAATGGGCCGGAGGAGTGAGCGAAGCGATTGAATACATACAACGGCTACGTGTCAGTGTCGCTGAAGCCTTCCTCCAGTGTTGTGGTCATGCATATTGTGAGTTCCTACTGCTGTGCAAATAGAGGGCGGGTCGTCTTCCATATGTGGTTATCGCCTGACCATCCTGAGCACTTGGCTCGGAAGATCCAATCCCCGAAACAGCAATGCGATTCGGTTCGAAGCCGACTTGAAGCATGTCACATATCACTTAGCAGATGCATGGGGATATCCAGCAGCTACACATTGAGGGGCCTCACGTTCGGCGTCGCTCTCCCGCTCGAGAAAACATTACAGGGCGGTGCCTTTTCAATGTCGTAGTCTTGCTTCTGCGCCGCACAGATGTGCTCAAGTAGTATGTTGCCCGCTACCTGAATGGACTGCAGTTCCACTATCGATTCGAATGCGCTGCGCGACACGATGCAGTCCAGTGTAAGTCTGGTCGCTGATGGTGAGCAGTCCATGTCCTGCCACTTCCTACTGCATGGCCATGAAGGGATCTGCCGCTCCCAGCCATCCCAAAATCCCAATTTCTCGAGGTGCCATGGAGGCTGACCGCTCAAGCCATCTGATCTCAAGAAGTTGGGGCAAGCCCACAAGACCTCCATTCCTTCTCCTTATAAATAACTTCTCCCTGCCGCACCCCGAGGCCTGGGACTTCCTCACCGTTTATGATTATGAAGATTGGGAATTGGCAACAACTCTCGCCTTAGAGCCGCGCACACTCGTTTCAAAGATTTGCGAGAGTTTCACGGATTGAGGGCGGCTGGTTTTCAAACTGTGGCTTTCGCCCTAGCGCGGCACACATTCGATTGGCAACTTTGGAAGATGTTCACGGATTGAGGGCGGGTGGTTTTCAACATGAGGCTCTCGCCGTAGCGCGGCGCACATTCATTTTGCAAGAGCTTCACGGATTGAGGGCGGGTGGTTTTCTATATGTGGCTCTCGTTTGAAAAATTGCAAGGACTTCACAGATTTAAGGCGGCTGGTTTTCAATGTGGCTCTCGCTTTAGCGCGGCGCACACTCATTGTAAGAATGCAAGAGCTTCACGGATTGAAGGCGGGTCGTTTCCAAAATGTGGATCTCGCTTTAGCGCCGCGCACATTCGTTTACGTAATTCTCGAAAGTTTCCCGGGTTCCGATCATCAACGTACCATAATGGTGGTTTGGTATGGCGTTATGGCACGATTCAGGATCGTCAAGACGCAACAATCAGGTTGACCTGTGGCGTTCGAATCCCGAGAACCATGTGTTGGCATGCTTCAGGGTCTTCGAACGGGTGTCTTCCACGGAGGCAGTCCCATCAATGGAAATAAACCCTTGCACGGGCCAGTAAAGAGGGAGCCTGGAGGGACGGTTTACTGCAGTATCGCTGATGACCCTCTTGGGCTTACACTGGTCCTCCTCCTCCTCCTCCTCCTGATCCTTCTCCCCGTTAGCCAAGGAGCCTCCGTGGCCCGTGGGCTGGCAGGAGCCAGCCTGGCCAGCTGGGCGCACCCTCCAGCTGCCGCCCGGCCCCTCCCCCGCACGCTCGCCGCTCCTGCCCGCCGCCTCCCTGCCCCCTCCTCCCCCTTCCCCTCCTGCCCCTCCTCCTCCTCCTCCTCCTCCTCCTCCTCCTCCTCCTGCTCCTCCTCCTCCTCCTCCTCCTCCTCCTCCTCCTCCTGCTCCTCCTCCTCCTCCTCCTCCTCATCCTCCCCCCCCTCCGCCTCCTCCTCCTCCTCAGGGACCAAGGAGGGAAGGGGGGAGGTGCAGGGGCGGGGGCATGCACGCAGGCGGGCAGAAGGGAGGCAGGAAGAGTGGGAGAGAGAGCGACAGGGAGGAGGGGAGAGGGAGAGAGGGGAGCGGAGGAGAGAAAGAATGGAGAGGCAGGGAGAAGGCTGTGGAAGGGAGCGGGGGCCGGGGCAAGCTGGACGCGCTTGCGCCACATCTCACACCCTGCCTCGTCCCTCCCATCGGTGCCCAGTGGTCCGAACCTGCTCATGTCCACCGGGTGTGGCGCCCCAGAAGACCCTGCAGTCGCAGGACTGAAGCCATCGGTTGCTGTGCACTCGGCGAGGGGGAGATCGGGAGGAGAAAGAAAACAAGGAGGATGAGGAGGAGGAGGAGGAGGAGGAGGAGGAGGGGGAGGAGGAGGAGGAGGGGGAGGAGGAGGAGGAGGAGGGGGAGGGGGAGGGGGGAGGAGGAGGGGAGGAGGAGGAGGAGGAGGAGGAGGAGGAGGAGGAGGGAGGAGGGGACGGGGCGAGGAGGGGAGAAAGGTAAAAGGAGACCAGGGGAGAAGGGGCGGGGGAGGATGGGGAGAGGGAGGGGAAGGACAGGGGGAGGGGCAGGGGTGGAGGGGGAGAGGGAGGCGGAGGGCAGTGCGGGGGGAGGGGAGGGCGAGGGGGAGAGAGAGGCGGAGGGGAGAGTGTGGGAGGGGAGGGTGCGGTCAGCCCGAGGCCAGCACGCTGGACGGACATGAGGACGGAGCCGCGGACGGACCACCTCGGCTGCACAAGGAGCTCTCCAGGATGCACCTCCTCATCAGCCTCCTGTCTCCGACTCCTCGTCCTCCTTGTCCCTCCCCGCCGCGAGTCAGGCCGCAAAACCCGTCCCCTCTGTCAAAAGAGGAGGACAAGCCCCCTTGCCTCCCCGCCGCAAGCACGTACCCTCAGAATGATCATTGCATTCCTCCTCCTCCTCCTCCTCCTCCTCCTCCTCCTCCTCCTCCTCCTCTTGCTTTTCCTCCTCCTCATCTTCCTCCTCTTCCCCCTCCTCCTACATTCGTTTATGTTTCTGCATGCGCTCCACTCACCCTTCCCTCCCTCCTCCCTCCTCTTCCTCCTGCTCCCTTATCCTCCTCCCAACTCCGTCATCATCATTCTTCCCTACATCCCATGACAACTTCGGCGAGCATGGGGAGACACAAAAGAGGGAAACATGAGGAGAATACGGAGTACGATGATGATGGGGGAGCAGGAGCTGGGACAGGGATGACGCGACAGTGAGAGCAAACCCGCCGCCCAGAGTTTCGCCAACGACACGCACGGGCGCGCCTATAGCAACGCGGACCCCTCTGAGCCAGGCGCGAAATGACTGCATCGGGGGCGGCTGCAGCTGCTTGCGGGGCGGCTGCGATGGCGACCTATGGGGCGAACAAAAAGCTGGGCCGAAAGAGCAGGTGAACAGTGTCCCTGCAGCCCAGACACATACACACAAATGGCGATGTAACATCACAATCGCGATCTACAACATGAACGGGCTACGCGCGTACGCGTCGCAATTGTTTTGAAAACAATACAGCCAACCTGCATTGAGAACGACGCTCGGGGACGACGGCTGAACGCAACTCCGTGAGCGCCGAAGCGAGCCGTGCAGGAACACAGAGGAGTTCTGCACATGGGTGCAGCGCGCATTCATGTTATACCCACATCAACACACCGTCACCCAACGATGCGCATACGACGGCTACGACGACTACTGATACTGATACTACCACCAATACTACTACTACTACTACTACTACTACTACTACTACTACTACTACTACTACTACTGATACTACTACGACTACTACGGCTACTACTACTACTACTACTACTACTACTACTACTACTACTACTACTACTACTACTACTACTACTACTACGACTACTACTACTACTACTACTACAACCACGAGCACTACCACCACTACTTCGACTGCTACTACTTCCTCTACTACTACTACTCCTACTCCTACTACTACTACTACTACTACTACTACTCCTACTACTACTACATCCTACTACTACTTCTACTACTACTACTACTACTACTGCTACTACTACTACTGCTACTACTACTGCTACTGATGCTACTGCTACTACTACTACTACTACTACTGCTACTACTACTACTACTACTACTACTACCACTACTGCTACTACTACTACTACTACTACTACGATTACTACTCCTGCTACTACTACGACTACGACTACGATTACGACGACGACTGCCACCACGACTAGTAGTAGTAGTACCACTACTACTACTACTACTACTACTACTACTACTACTACTACTACTACTACTACCACTACTACTGCTACTACAACTACTACTACTACCTCTTACGACTACTACGAGTAAAACTAATATGGCTACTACTACTACTACTACTACGACTCCTACTACTACGACCACTGCTACCACTACTACTACTACTACTACTACTACTACTACTACTACGACCGCGAGTATGACTACGACTATGACTGCGACTACGACTACAATTGCTGCTGCTGCGACTGCTACTTCTACTATACTACTGGTCCTACTCCTACTGATACTACTACGACTACTACTACTACAACTACTACTACTACTACTACTACTACTACTACTACTACTACTGCTGCTACTACTACTACTACGACTACTACTCTTGCGACTGCTACTACTAATAGTACTAGTACAGCAACAACTACTACGACTGCTACTGCTACTGCTACTCTATTACTACTACTACTACCACCACTACGACTACTACTGCTACTACTACAAATACTACTACTACTACTACTACTACTACTACTACTACTACTGCTGTTACTACTACTACTACTACTACTACTACTACTACTACTGCTACTACTACTCCTACTTCTACTACTACTACTACTACTACTACTACTGCTACTACTACTACTACTACTACGATTACTACTGCTACTAGTACGACGGATACGACTACGACTAGGACTACGACTACTACTGTTACTATGAAAACTACTACCCTTACTACTACCACTATCACTACTACGACTACTGCAAGTTCAATGACTACCCCTAATACGAGTGCAGATACTACTACTACTACTACTACGACTACTACTACTACTACTATTACTACTACTACTACTACTACTACTACTACTACTACGGCTACAACTACTACGACTACAACGACTACAACGACTACT